AACGGCCTCAATTCATGACCCTTTTGGATTTCTGACGCCATTCATAGTGCGAGCAAAAATGCTGATGCAGGGAGCTTGGATGGAGGCTCTCGGATGGGACGAAGAGTTGCCAGATCACTTTAAAATGGAATGGAAAAGATGGTTCGAGGAACTTGGAGAGCTTGGTCCAGTCCGTGTTTTAAGGTGTCTGAAGGAAGACAAGGAAGTTTGAGATATTACTATTCACACATTCAGTGATGCTTCTGAGAAGGCTTATGCCGCAGCAACGTATATTGACCATGAGTATGAAGATGGAACAGTTAGCACACGGTTAGTTGCAGCAAAGTCAAGGCTGGCACCATTGAAAGCTATGAGCATTCCGCGTTTGGAACTCATGGGAGCACTGACTGGTCTCCGACTGACATTGAAAATATGTGCAACACTGGAGATTCCCAGAAATAAGACCACATTTTGGGTGGACAGCATAAATGTCGGGTTTTGGGTCCAAGGACAGAGTAAAAACTTTAAACCCTTTGTATCTCACCGGGTTGGAGAAATTCATGACAAGAGCAGCCCAGACCAATGGCGGAACGTTCCAACGGAACTCAACCCTGCAGACCAGGGGACTCGAGGAGCTTCAGTTCAAGAGTTAGTTAAGGAGGACTGCTGGTGGTATGGACCCCCGTTTCTAAAGAATAGAGAAGATGGATGGCCCGAGAGGAAATTTGGAAAAGCCCCAGAAGCTTACAAGGAAGTTAAATCGGAGAAACGAGAACAGTTCGTGGAAAAGGAGCTGAGCATGAATACACAGAGCTATTACGTGGAAACAATCACACCAAAGAGCACACCAGATCCAACGGAGTACTCAAAATGGTACAGAATCAAGTCAAAAAGGAAGTTAGAGATCAGAATGTCTCTGGTGCGGGTGACTGGTTAGATTAATCGATTCTTAGCAAATATTAGAAAGCCTCAAAGTGATCGAGAAAGTGGTGAGTTGAATCCAAGAGAACTTAAACAAGCGGAAGAGCAAATCATCAAGACAACTCAACAAGAGTGTTTTCCTGACGAGAAAGAGCACTTAAAGACAACAACCCTCTCCCCAGCAAGAGCACGTTACTAAAAATCACACCAAAGTCGTACGGGGGACTCCTTCGACCAAACACGCGACTGCAATATTCCGATGATTTGCCAGAAGAGATGAAGTTTCCAATCATCCTTCCAAAAAATCACATCGTAACCAGGCTAATCGTGAGGTATCACCATGAACAGGAAGGTCACGAGATGAGATTAAACTTTACGTTGAACCATCTACGAAAGAAGTATTTTGTGCTTCACGGACGACAACGAGTAAAAAGATGTGTCAAGAAATGTGAGGAATGTAACAGGAGATTCAGGGGCTGTCCAGCACGACAACAGATGGCACCGTTACCTAGAATTCGATTAGAGATGACTCAGAAACCATTTGCCAATTGTGCGACAGATTTTGCAGGACCATTCTACACGATGCAAGGACGAGGCAGACCACGAATGAAGCCTTACCTTTGCTTATTTGTGTGTCTACAGACACACTGTTGTCACTTAGAAATGGCTACTTCCCTGGAGACGGATGCTTTCTTAAATGCGTTGACACGTATGGAGGCTAGACGAGGGTGGCCAAAGGTGATCCTCAGTGTCAATGGAAGTAACTACGTTGGAGCAGCAACGGACTTCAAGGAGCTAGTGGATAGCATGGACCAGGACAAAATTCAAAGGCTTACTTCTAACCAAGGAATTGAGTGGCAGTTCAACTCACCGGAAGCACCACATTTCGGTGGTGTATTTTAAAGAATGATCAAGTTCGCCAAGAGGGCAATATATGCAATTTTCAAAGAAGCAGATGTCAATGATGAGGAGTTACAAACAGTGTTTACAGGGGCCGAGAGTTTGTTGAATTCCAGGCCTCTAACCACAGTTAGTGGAATGGTCAATGACGAGACTGCTTGACCCCAAACCACTTCTTAATTGGCCAAGTGGGTGGTGAGCTAGCCCCAGATACAGTCGATACGACGGCGGTCAGTGTGCGTAGGCGATGGAGACGAATTCAGGAGCTGATTCGTAGAGTATGGAGTCGTTGGATGCGAGAGTACTTGCCGAGTATTGGATGCCGAACAAAGTGGTTCCAACCTTCAAAGAACCTAACAGTGGGGGGATTTGGTGTTGGTAATTGACCCAGACGCACCAAGACGGGATTGGAAATTTGGACGAATAGAGGCAATGTATCCTGGTAAAGATGGATTAGTACGAGTCGTAGACGTTAGAACCAAAGGAGTCATGAAATGAAGACCAATTTCCAGAATTTCACCGTTGGAATCTGAAGAGTACTAGGTGACCGGATGGAACAGTGAAGTCAGTTAATCGGTACACCATGAAAACTTAAAGGAATTTTTGAACGATTCTCATTTGAGCAGTTATTGGAACGTTTGAACAGTTGTCATTTGAACAGTTATTGGAACGTTTGAACAATTCTCATTATATTTGTAAAAGAAATCAATAAATGTTGGATTTTCAATGTATAGTAAATCCAGGAGGGGGAAAAAGCGAACCGGAAGTTATGTTACTGAGTTAAGTTATTGATTGACAGTTTTAAAAATAAAGACCCAGATCGATATGCTGACGCCATAAAAAGAAAAGATCTTGTTTGGGTTTTCTTTGTTGTTTCTTTTACACGATTTTTTAACAAGTTTGGGAGTTTGGATAAGGAAAATTTAGAAACCTAAGGAGAAACACTGACTGAGAAGAAAACCCTCTCCTGGAAGCTGACAAACTTCTTGCTAGCCTACAGTACGACACCGCATGCGCTGACTGGAGAGGCACCAGCCGTACTCCTCAGAGGAAGAAACCTAAGAACGAAGCATGACATACTGAAGCCTAACATACGGAAGCGAGTGGAAGAAAGGCAGCAAGACCAAGAGTTGGAATCCAGCCACAACCCTACCCGTGAGTTACCGTAGGTCAAGCTGTCGCTGCCCGAAACCACCAAACCGGAGATAAGTGGGTTCCTGGTATCATCACAGCTCACCCTGGACCCTTATCCTACGAAGTCAGAGTCGGACCCAATACAGTATGGCAACGTTGGGTACACACATTAGCAAATTTTAAAAAATATGATGGATTCACTGACAGTTGTCTGGAATCTTTGGCTTGGATTCTGGATTCTGTCTGTTTAAAAGTTCAGAGCATGGGTAATTGCATTGCTAGCCTTTCGTTGACTGTCTGTGTCCCTTCGTGTTTGGTGTTTCAGCCACTCAGGTTTTGATAACATTAAGGTTTTTGCATTTAGAGGAAACTAGAATTTTGTTCCTGATGTAATTGACCCTGAAGGGTTAGCAGATCATGATTACTTTGTAAAGCTAATTTGTATAATTACACCACTTTCTCATAAAAACAGCAAAGAATTTTAGAAACTTCAAACAAAATAAATGCTGTCAGTAGAAAATAAGAACACATGCATAACTCTATATGTTTTGGTGTGATCTGTTGCTACTTTCAAGTTTTTCACACTAGTTTGAGGTTTACTACTGTAACAGAGCCTTTAATCATAACATTACATAAAGGCAATTGCACACTGGTGAATGACCAATGAGGTATGAATTAAAGCGATGATGAAACACCAGATTGAAATAAAAAACAATTAAATAGCTTCTAAGGGCTAGAATCACCAGCTCTTGTAGCAGAATATTTTGTGACAACTACTGTACCCCTCACTGCATCTGAGCCAAGACTGGAAGACTGTGGGTATAGTGTGTTCTTCTGCACTGACAAACAGTTAAATTGGTAAGTAACCTCTTGTACAGATGTCACTATACCAGAACTCACATTTACAGCCAGGACAGGTCCAACTTTGTACAGCACATAGCGATCAGACTTGGACATGTTGAGAGGCTCATTATCATCCTTTAAATAGTCCGTAAGTTCTCCCTGAATAAACTTTGCAAAATGTTTTATGCGAGTTGTACTTCCTCCCATGCAGACGAACTATAAGAAAGAAAAACTATACAGCTCTGGTACTATTTTCTATTTCTCCTTCATTTTAGATGATGCACCAACAAACTCTTAGATCAAAAACAAACATAGGAGATCACTGTGGATCTATGAATAATATCCCCAGAAACCAGCCTGTTATCAGTAACTTGATTTGACTGTTTAAGATTTGTTTATATATAATTTTCCAAGAAAGTAGACCAAGATGTACATAAAAAGTGAAGAGATTCCAAAACCCACACAAAATAAAAATGGAAAACATCTTGAAACTCCTTGGCTTACAACCCTGGTCCAGTTGTACTTTCCAATTAATGTACAACTGTGCCAAATGAGTTTTTAGCTCATTGACTGTTTCTTTCCCTGATTTGTTATTGGTGATTGATTAGTATACAAACATGCTCACATTTTTGTCTCCAATGAAGTATCAAATTACCTTGACATCACCAAACAAGTTTTTGAGATTNTATGCAGGAATCCTTCCTGAGTACCTAGCTCATTGACATGTAGACAAATAATTTTGATACGCCCCCTAAAACGCCCCTTCGCGTAATCTGAGCTGGTTTAGTTCATAAATAGGTATCTAGTACGTACTTTTACTTCCACGCACTCCGATTCAGTTACCAATTACACAAGACAAGCAACGTGGGATAAAACTTTAGAACACAAGGCCACCTTTAAACATCTAATTAAATCACAACAACATCTATTATGTTGTAAATGCAAATCAAAACGCGTACGTGTGAAATAACACACATTTCACGCCTTGAAAGTCTTGTCATATTGCCGGTGTTTAGTGATCACTGTAACACTTATATTTAGGCCCCCTGGACTGATGCGTATTTATTCAGATAGTAGAAATTATGCTGACCTGATTGTGACCTTTAGGTATTATCCTGTTTTTCTTTGCTGTTTACATTAACAACTGTACTCGCTACAACGTACTCCATAAACCGTCTTAAAGATTTGGAGACAAACCTACCTTTGATTTTCTAGGTCTTCCGATGTTCGCAACGACTTGTTCTCATGCAATTCCTGCACTGCAAACCACTTTGGCCAAGTGCTGCTTGTTTGTAACCACTGTTGCTGATCGATTTCTAAGGAAGTACTAATCTCGCGGGAAGTAAATTTACATGAATCAATCCCGAGATTCGGACCCCACGTGTTGATATTAGCGTCAACCAATCAGAAAATCTCCTAGCGCTCTCGTTTAAGGTAGAATCCGATCCTACCGACGCGTCGACTGACGATCGGTCGACGCTCGGTCATCGGTCGGTCGACCGTCGGCCGACTATCGGCTAACCTTTTAGCCAATGCGTTGCCCGACGGTTTGCCCGACGCGTTGGCCGACGCGTTGGCCGACGCGTTGGCCGACGCGTCGGGGAAATCGGATTCTTTACCTTTACCCAGTTCTTCCCGCACGACATATAACCGCTCGAAAGCCTGAACGTTCCTGACCATAAGTTTCATTTTCGTTCCCGAAAGCGGAAGTCACTGACGCATCGTTGTGTGAAGGGACATTTTTAGACCCGTTTCAGTGTTTCATACGCCTGACTCTGACCGAGGGCTCTTTTCATTCTTATGTTCTCAGAGACGAGAAGGTTCTAAATTTGAGCCTGACGTAATTTTCAAATTCGTTTTTCTATCTCCCCACGTCAACGACTAATTTGGAACACAAAAGAGGTAACAACTACCCAACGTGGTCATTTTCAAGGTTTTCACACTTATAGCAACTCATGGAAAGGAAGGTAGTTGCCAAAAAAGGGCCATCATCACCTCGCAGTGAAATGTCCGAGGAGGAAGATGTATTTGATTACGCCAGATTTGAAGACTTCAGTAACGAAAGTGGACCTGTACCGAGAGAGGCATATGCTGCTCTAAGGAAAGGTATTTTTTGTCTTTCCACGATCATGGACGTTACATTTACAGTAATGAAGATATTACTTATGTTCTACATCTACATTTATTAGTCTTGCAAAGGGGGGTCATCACGCAAGACAATAATGTTTGTTAACTTGGCAGTATAAACTAAACGAGGTGCAGAGAGGAGGGGTTTGTAAGATTGAAATGGGATTACTGTGGCTTGAGGAAATGATCACAGCTCATACATTCCTGAGAAGTCACAGTCCCCTGAATTGAGCTGTCCTAACAATGAAGGAAACAGATAGCAAACCACGAATTCCTTCAGATTGGAGTTACCTCCGTAGAGATTGACAACTGGACTGCATTACAAGCACTTACTTGAGGATCATTTAATATTTCAACTAGTAGTGATTAGCTTTTTAAGCTTTCAATTCTTTCCCTGTGCTGGATGTGTGTAGAAATTACAACTGATCCAATTGAGTATTGGCTTGCCACAAATTTGCCTTGTACAGTGGTTAGTGGCAAATTTCCAACTGAAGATTTTAGAAATTCTGAGGTGGTTTCTGTATATCTGGGTAATGATGGAAATCTGTGATCATATACAGACACACATGTTAATGAGTGGCTGACCAAATGCAGTTTTGATAATTTGCTGAGTTTGCTTTTATTTGTTGATTCTAATACACCACTACCTAGAGGAAATCTTTATGTGAATCATTTGAACTCAAAGGTTAGCTTGATTTCAAACAGATTTCCACCTGAAAGAAAGTTGGAATGGTTCTCAACCATGCATCATTAAAAGCATTCCAAAAATGCCCAACATTATTAACAACTGATTCAAAGCAATGCTTAGCGATTTCTCATATGACAGTTGGCCAATATACATGATCATCACAAATTCAGTTTAATTTTTATGAAGGGAGATCCTATTTCACCCCCAAGCA